AGAACAGCAAAAAAAAAAAAAAAAAAAAAAAGCCAAAAAAAAATTAGTACACGTTTGTAGTACATAATGTTTACCTTCCTTGTGTGGAGTTGGTGTATGTACAGAACACATCTTCGTTCCTTTTTTCACCCTCCATCTCTTGATCTCCTTCCCATCTGAGAAAGATCTCTTTCAACTTCCTATTAGCTATCTTTTTATTTTGCCCTTTAATGTTTAAGCTTGTTTGTCTGACTTATTTCACTTAACATTGTGGTCTCAAGGTGCATCCATTTTTTTGTAGATGACTCGAGTTTATCCTTTTTGGAACAGTAGTACTCCACTGTGTATAAATGCCACATTTTCTTTATCCATTCGTCTGTTCATGAACACGTAGGCCACTTCCAGGATCTACCTAATATGAACTGTGGTGCTATAAACCTGGGTATGCATGTGCTGCTTAATATGATTTCTTTAACTCTTAGGAAGATACCTAGAAGGGAAATAGCTGATCAAATGAAATTTCTACTTTAAAGTTGTTTTGTTTTGTTTGGTTTGGTTTTTTTGAGACAGGGTCTCACTATGTAGTTCAGTCTGGCCTTGAACTCACTAGTCCAGGCTGGCTTCAAACTCCCAGAGATCCTCCTGCCTCAGCCTCCCGAGTACTGGGGTCGCAGGTGTGTGCCACCATCCCAGCTATTATGACTGAGTCTTGATTCCCTTTTCTTGGCTGTTCAACTTAATCTGAAATACAACATGTAAGTATTTTAGGATTGGGGTTATGTGTATATACACTGAAATTAAATAGTTCTGCAATTAATCTGTGTGAGAGTCACTAAGAATGCCAACATTTATTTTGTTTGAATGCCATGGTTCTTTTAGTTTAAAAGCATTTTTTCCAAAGTTGCCTCTCTTCACCACAATAGAGCTCTGGCAATGTATTAAGTGGCTCAGGATTTGATGAAATTGTGGCCAATTTCTGATCTCCATCTGGAATTTAAAACAAATTAATGATTTAAGACCATTTACTCCTAAATTTTAACATACTATCCTTTTATCAATTATGCACAATAACAGTTTATGAAATTTAGGGCAAAAGGATATACTTAAAGTGTGGGGACGGGTATAGTCAAAAGGTCGTTTCTTTGGCCAAGTCTCCAATTAAAAGCCATATTGAATTATGCCAAAATGTGAATAAAATGAAATGAGTCACAAATTTGCATGGGCTGTCCTACCTCTGGACCTCCACACCCTCCATTATAAATGAGCCACTCTGTATGAAGTCCAGTTACTGCCGTCCCTAAATTTACACCAACTGGAGTTCTCTCCCATTGTGTAACTTCTAGTCTGAAATCACTCACATCTCCTTATCTGAAGGTGAGGATTCAAGGAATGCTTGGGCTGACGACAACGGTGGTGGCATTATACCAAAACTTCACCATGTGGGTGTTTTCTTACATTAACCCTGACAATCACACCCACCCTCAGTGATACAGATAGTAGCACCATCTCCAAGAGATTAATTCATTGGTCCAAGTCCACTCAATTATATGAGGCAGAGCCCAGATTCCCCCACAATTCTCAGGCTCCTGTGCCCCTAATCTTTTCACTGCTGTGTTCCATTCACACCTCAGCAGCATTTAAAGAAGTACATGTTTCTTACTGTTAAGAAAAATAGAACATTTCTTTAACCAGGGAATATGCTTAGAAACACTATTTGGAGAATTTTTTAAAAGTATAAGTGTAATCGTGTCTGTAACTAGTAATCGTATGAATTCTGAAGGCTGATTATGCAGTCAAACAACAATTAGGATGGCCTTCTTGAGAATAACATTGTATTTTAGGGAAATAGTAGGATAAAAGTGTGAGAAATTCTGTTTAACAGCTCTTAGTATCTTTGCTATAGGATTTACAGTAGAGACAAATACACATATCTCACTGATTCAACAGTAAATGTCTTGAGTGTAGTGGATGTTTTCAAGCCTCAAAATGCTATACAGATAGGAGGTACCATGGAAATAATACAGATGGGAGATTACGTGTGAAATAATTCATCCCTCATTAACAAAATTAATTACTCTTCATATGGATTTGGGGTGGTGACTCCCTGAAAGTCATCATTGAAAACTGAAATGAAGAATTGAGAACCACAGTAACTATCCAGCTTGCTGAGAATTCAAGCATTATTTACATTCTATTTAATTTATTTAATTTACTTTATTTAATATCATCACACTTGTGCCAGGGATTTGGTTCAGTGGTTCTACCACCTGCCTCGCAAGTACAAGGCCCGAGTTTCATCCCCAGTACCAAAAATTAAATTTAAAAAAATAATATCATTGCTCTTGAATGTTATTGGAAATTTTCAAAGATAACTTTGTACATGAGTTTTATGCACTAGTTTTTGAACTTAATGTCAGTGGAAGGCCCATTTCCATTGTATTTTTAAAATACATATTTATAATGGTATATATATTTGTGTGTGTGTGTGGTACTGGGGATCGAACTCAGGACCTTGAACTTGCAAGGCAGGCCTGGTGCCACTGAGCTAAATCCTTGGCCCTGTAATGTTATATATTCTTGATCAATAATAACTGGTATTTTTGAGCTGAGTGTCATGCACATACCTGTAATCCCAGCACTCAGGAGGTTGAGGCAGGAGAATTGCTGCAAGTTCGAGATCAGCTTGGGCTACATAGTGAGTTCCAGGGCAGTCTGAACTACATATGAGGCCCTGTCTCAACAAAACAAAACAAAAAAACCCTGGCATTTTTGGAAGACATTATCAATATTACTTATATACATATATCAATTCTTTTAGGTGGGTACTATTTTTGTTCTTTTTGCAGATGGGAAAATTGAGGATCAGAGAGTTTGAGGGTCACAGCACAGCTCCTGAAAGTGTATACTTCATTTTGAAAGTGATTATTCCTTTAATTGATTTGGTACCAGGGTGAGTAATTTAAGGGCAACTTTCCTCTGAAGAGCTACTTCATCTTCCTAGACAGTAAATTCTCTACAGCTACAGGAGGTAGCCTTCTCTACATCTGGCACGTGATCGATTCTGAAGTGCTCCCTAAATAAATAAATAATGATAGGTGCTGAGAAGCAAGTTTAGCTGAGGAAGAAATTTTTAAGCAATAGCCACTACCTGTCATGGTCTGTTTTTAATCTGTTGTTTAACAATTTCCAAGTCAGAAATCTCAGAACTGAACATGAAAATGCAGATCGCTGCTAACATCTTCTGCTCGTAAAACTAATGACTAGGTTGGGTGTAGTTCCGTAGACCACTTGCCTAGCATGTGCAGTGGCTGGGTTCGATCCCCAGCACTAAAACAAACCTGTGCTTTGATAAACACCCTTACTTTCTGTTCTGTGAAAAGCCTTTCCCCACGGACTCTAGGAGTGAATTTCTTGATCTTTGCAAGTGTTGGGTTCGGTCCCTGCTCTCTTCTCTGTCAGTGCTGTGATTCGTGGGTTTCTCTGTTAGGGCTTCTTGCAGACAAAACTTGTGTCCTCCTGGTTGTTTATGAAACAGTTGTCACCTGTGTATCTCTCAAGTCCGTCTCAGTTTCTTCTGCTGCCACCCTTTAGCAGTTGCCTGAATCACTAGTTCTCAAACTCGGTGGCACAGTGGAATTATCTGGGAGTTTTAAAAACTTGATGCCTGGGACACCCCAGCCGCACCCACTGAGGGATTCTAATCTCATTGGTTGTGGCACAGCCTGGGTGTTTGGACTTTTGAAAACTTCCGACACTTTAGTCAAAGTTAGAAACAGGAACTGACCCAGTGTGGTTGCCTCCTGACCACTCTTTGCCCACTCTGCCCCGCTTTCTTCTCCAAAGAGAAGAAATAAAATATCAAAATGATATTTTAATCACTACCTCCATACTCCTAAAATCATTTCAACGGTTTTCCATTAGTCTCAGGTTTGAGGCCAAACTCTTGAACATTACCGTGAAGTCTTATTCTGGTCCTGCTGTCTCTCCGGCCATATCCTGCTCCGTGAGCCCTTTGGCACACATGCACGCTGAGGATCGGCTTAGGGCTTCGTGCGTGCTTCTGACGCTTTCTGCTGCTGAGCTGTGGCTTCATTTCTCTTCCTTTTTCCCTTCTGCAGACCTGCCGTGCTTGTGGAAGGCCTCTGCACAGACTGCGCTCTGTGAAGCTATTTCCCTCACTCCTCGTCTGGTTAACTTTTAGCTCCTCCTGCGGGTCTCAGCTCATTTCCTCAGAGAGACCTTCTCCAATCTGTTGTATGGCTCACAGGACCACATAAATTCCTCTTTATAGCAAGTGGAATTCGTGGCTACTTCTGTGCTGTTCTTCTGTTGAATCTGTGGTAAAAACTGGGTCTGTGTTTGCTTTACATGGTATTGCCAAAACCTAGCACATTGGCATTTAAGTAGGCGCTCAGATTGTTTACCGAATGCATAAATATCAATGAATGAAAACATACCCAACATCAAATAGCCAAGTCTAACTGATGTCATCTCCAAGAATAACCCTGGAATCCATTTCTTGCTCATCTTCCTGCTGGTCCAAGTCCTCATCATCTCTGGTCTAAACTGTGAAATAGCTGCCTCAGTGGTCAGCATTCCTCCATCCTTGTCCCTCTCCAAACTGTGTCTTAGCAGCCAGAGTGATCTTAACATCCAAATAATGTCACTCCTCTTTGAAATCCTTCAGTGTCTCCCCATTGCTCATGAAATAAACCCAGCAAATGATCACTCCTACCCTTGCTTTACCCACTGAACCTCACTGGGTTTCCCAAATATGCCAAGGCCTTTCCGGCTCTCTGGATCTTGCTTTTTACTCCTCCTTTTGCCTGAAATACTTCCCACCAGACTCATTTGTATTTTTCAGATCTCAGCTAAAATTATATACATGTTTTCCTTGATCTGTATAAAGGAATTTCCTTCATCGTCGTGCTTATTACTCTTATAGCTTACTTCTGGGCATGTTTTTCAAGGTGCACCAGAATGTCAGCCCCATGAAACCAGCTGTCTGCTCTGTCAAGATCACTGCATGCCTGGGAAGCACAGGCTCATTCATAACATGTGTTCGATAAACAACTGAATCCTGCTATGGTTGCCAGTTTCCCAGGGTACAGGTTACTCTTGGAACAGGGCTACTTCAGGGCTACCATATATGACGAATAGGGTACAGCAGAAGGAATGGTGTAGGACTTTGCAGTCTCGGTCATAAAATGCAGTGGTTTCTACCTTGGTCCTGTATCACTCACACCAGGCTCACGCCAGGACACCAGAGCAGCCTCGTGGGGAGACCCAGGTAGAAAGGTCCCAAGGCCCCCAGCCGACAGCCAGCTTGACTGTCCTGTGGGTAAACTGCCTGGAGATGATTGACCACCCCAGCAGGTCAGCCAAGACTGACACCCTCCCTGATACCTGTCTGCTGCCTCAAGAGACAGCCCCGGCCAGAACTGCCCAGCTGAGCAGTTCCTACCCCACAGAACCCACGAGGGAAAACCTCCTTGTTTAGGTTTTAAGCCACCAAGGATTTGAATGATTTGTTACTCAGCATTAGATAACTAATACATATTCAGTCAATGATTCAACAGGAGATACAATGAATACTTCACTATAACTCATCTTCGGAATAGATCAGGTTACAACCTCGCTGGGTGGGGATACCCAAAGCTGTTCCTCACCATCACTCAGCCTACACTTTTAGTATCATATTTTCAATTGTCTACAGATCCCAACTTGAATGTACCTGCCTAAAACGTTTTTGTCAGAGATTCCCAACAATCTGGCAGAATCGAGAGGCTGTGGAGTTACCTTTAATTTCTCTTCTGTGCATTTTCTATTGGCACTGTCCTTGCGCTCTCCAAATATGCTGCCATTTAAGTCTTCATCCCGTTTCCTCTGAAGCCTTCCTAGTTCATTTACGAGCAAGGGCTTTGGAGGGACATATTTGGGTTTGAGCTGGACTGTGACCCTACAGGCTACTTGCTTGAGCAGATTCTTAGTCTCTTTTCTGCTAAAATAGAGGTGTAACAGTGCCTACTGCTGGGGCTGTGACAGTGATGGCAGCACTGTGTGTGCACGTAGTGATTATGTGGCTTCGCGCAGTCCCAGGTGCATGACACTTTACCTCTAATTTTCCAGAAGGGACAAGCCAAGCATCAGCTAGAATACTCAGGCCCGCAGATGGATGCTCAAGGCCTGTCCCTGGCACCACCCAACCCTGCTCATCCTCAGCCCTGCCTTCTCCAGGCCCCTGTGCTCCTCAGCTGAGTAGGTCACCTCCTGGACTGTGGTCCTACAGTGGCACTGAGTGTCTGCATTTGACTTCTCAGGTCCCCCCTAAGGAGGAGGCCAGGGTCCTCTCCAGTCTCTCAGAGCCCTTGCCACCCATACACAGTCCCTAGTGGCAGCGCCCCTGCCGTGCTATCCTCTTTTCCAAAATAGTGCGAGTCCAACCCATTAGTTCCCTGTTTTTGCGCACTACAGTCCTAGCTGTAAGAGGCCCAGGTGACCCTGTCTTTCCACTGTGGCTCTCGTCATTCTCTTAAGAGGTTGATGTGTCATCTTCCCATTGGACTGTGAGTTCCTTGCACTGGAGGTCATTGCCTGGAATTTCTGTGTGCCTAGCGAAAGGCTAGCACAGTAGCAAGTGGTTATTGTTTAATTGCTCTGCTAGGGTATTCATTGGGCTTACAGATTTTCAAAGAATTAGGAATTGTCTTCTAAAGTAAGCAAGGGAGAACATCTTTCTGTCTTAACAAGATTTCCTCTTGGCAGAGGAATTGTGAAGTAGGTCCTATTTGCTGTCACTTTTGGAAGACAACCTGGATTCTCTCCTGCAAAAGATTTCACACTCCCAGTTGATCTTGAAGGGACAAATGGCTCCTCCTGTTTTGTAGAGACAAGAGTCTTGTGGACTTTTCCCAAACACCATCCACCTCTTTGTAACCCCTCCTCACGCCAGCAGCTTCTGCCCCACCAGGTCTCAAACACCTTTCAGCCCTAGCCTGAACCCCTTGACGCACTTCCTTTACGACGTCCTTGCCAAAGCCTCACCCTCCCTGGCCTCCATCCCAGCTCCTCCTTCCTTAAATGACATTCCTTTCAGCCACTGCCTCCTCCTCAGTTCCTCTGTTCCCTCCCTCCTCAGACAAAAACAAAAACTAAAAAACCTCTGGCATCCAGGACCTGGCTCTGCCCACTTGCAATTTCTTACCCCAACCCCTTTGTCAATGTGGCACCCATCCTGGCTTCATCTACTGCCACTTTGTCCCTGACTGCTCTCAAGATCTGCCTGGTCCTGCTGCCTGCTCTTCCTGTCTTCCTGGGTCCCAGCCTGACCACCTCCCCCTGCCCAGCTCTGGCCTGCAGCTCTTTGCTCTGGACAGAAGACAGAGGGCAGAGCCTTCCTACCCCACCATTCTTATCTACCAGTTTCCTTTCTTTCTCTTTAAAAGGAAAGAAAAAAATCACTAAATCACTGGGAGTATAGCTGACACTTGTCTGTGACAGAGGCCAAGCAGAGCACACCCAGGAATCCAGTGCTCAGGGTCTGAATTCTGCTTCTCTAACTCCTAGCTGTGTGGTCTCCGCAACTTGGTATGCCCTAGTGTAAACGGGGAAAATAACAGCACTTACCTCAGCTGCCATGGAAGTGAATATGTGTCTGCCAGTGTAAGAGCCTCCAGAATGTAGGGGTTTGCTCACTTAGAAAGTTTGCCAGTGAAGTGATTTGTTCAGTGAACTAAAGTCAAGTCGCCAGTGACTACAGGAACATGAGGGATGTTTCAGCTGTTGTCATGTGAACACTCCCCGGGTTACCTGTGTCCCCTCAGTATCCTCACACATGTCCCAACGTAGAAATACTACAAGGTGGGCCGGGCATGGTGGCGCACACCTGTAATCCCAGCGTTTGGGAGGCTGAGGCAGGAGGGTCGCTGCGAGTTCGAGACCAGCCTGGACTACGTAGTGAGTTCCAGGGCATTCTCAACTACAGTGAGACCCTGTCTCAAAAACCAAAAAAAGGGCCGGGGATTTAGCTCAGTGGTTCGGTGGCCTGCCTTGCAAGCGCAAGGACCGGAGTTCAATCCCCAGTACCAAAAAAAAAAAAAAAAAAAAAAAAAAAACCCAAGAAGAAAAAATAAATACTACAAGGTGGGCTTTTTTGTTTGCTGTGTACTGGGGATTGACCCAGAGCCTTCACACTGAGCTACATCCTCTGACCTTTTTTACTTTTTATTTTGAGATAGTATATCACTAAGTCATGCATTTGCCCAGGCTGGCCTCAGATTCGTAATCCTCCTGCCTCTGCCTCCCAGAGTGCTGGGATTACAGGCATGCTCACTCACACCTGCCCATTGAAGTTTTAAATTGCATGTCCTGATGTGTCAGATCACACACCTCGTGGTGTGATCTGGGGCTCGGGAGTATTCACACGTGAGCCTGCTTCCTAAGGAGGACATGGCGTGCATTTTCCTCCCTGCAGGCTCAGATGCGGGGAGCTGGGATGCGGGGGAAGGGAGGACACGTGGGGTGGCCCTCACTCTTTCTGCACCCAGATGCACACATATCCCTGTCTCCAACTTGACTGGACCCAGTCACTCCCTGAGCTGGCGAAGTCCATGGGACAAGCTTATCTGTGGCCTAGACAAGGTTCGTCTCAGTGAGTCAAGAGCACTGGACGTGACTTACCAGTCTTGTAAAATGGCAGTGAGTAGTCTCTTTGGTAAGTGGTTTCCTTGTACCATGGTTCAGCAGGCTTTGAATGTCTTCGAAAACAAATATATTGAGTGAGCGTCTGTTGATCTAATTGAGGTTGATATGGGGTTTTTCTCTTGGATGCAAGGCCCAAGTCTATGAGTGGTCTAAGGAGAGATAGAAATGCCTCACTGAGCACCCATTGGAAGAAAAGTGGCCCATTTTCTCATCGGTTGCAGTGGCCAGGAGGCTAGGGACGGGAATGACAAGACTCCCATTGCCCAAAGGCCACCACTGAAGTCATGATAGAGAGCGCAAGGATTTTAGGCCTTGGCTTTCCCTTCAGCATTCCTCCTCCTCCTCCCCAGTCATAGATCACAGGAGTGACCTGCATCACCTCCCTGCTCTGCCCATGCCTGCTGTGTGCTGTACTCCAGATCTCCACGGTGCTAGTGCCCTTGACCATTATAATTTTTCTATGAATGTTTTGGTCCTTTGAGGACCTAGTACATTATTTTAGCAAAACCACCACTGCAGTATATCTTGGTGTTTGACAGATCTGAAATCAATTGTACACATCCTGTACTGCTACTCTAATAGGCTTCCTCCAAAGATAAAAGCAAGCAAGATAATGGCAAAATACTTTCTTGCAACATGGGAGTATTCACTCACTGGTACCACTTTGGTGGTATATATTAAGACCTTGAAAATGTACATACAATTTGTCTCAGCAATTCTAGCAATTAGGAATATCAATACAAATTTAGGCCTAAGAATTATTACCCAATTGTTTTTATGATGAGAAAATATACCTTCATTAAAAAAAAACAAAACGAAAACAATCTAGGGTGATGGCTATATGCTGATTACCCTGATCTGAACGTTACATAGTTGTTTTGCAATGTTTCCTATAAATATATACAGTTACTGTGTCAATTAAAAATAAAGTATTTTAAAAAAGAAAAGATGTGGAATTAGTCAATAATATAATAGACATACAGAATTACCATGCCATCATTAAAAATGATGAGATAGAATTTCAACTTTTGAGATGAAAAAAGTCCCCAATAGTCCACAATACTAAATTTAAACAAAGGTTGTGATTAAATTATGCATTTTAAACAGGTGGATTGTATGGTGTGTCTAGATGTCTCCCCCAAATCTCATGTAGTCAGAAGTGGGGCTTTTTCAGATGTGGCTGGATCTAGATTGTGAAGCCGGAATTGATTCATGGTGCAATGCTAGGCTCAAGGACTCTAATTAAGGGTGTGGGTGCCGCCTGCCGTGAGCAGTCTGGATAAGAAAAGGGTCAGGGAGACGCTGTTAAGGTCCCTTGTTGCTCTTGCTGTCTTCTGCATGCAATGAACTGTCTCCTGCAACAGCCCTCTGCCCTGTACCACCCTACCTTGGAGCCAGCCAATTATGGACTGAAACCTCTATAAACTGTGAGCTACATAAACCTTTGCTCCTTAACTTTGGTTGTCAGGTGTTTTGCTTCAGCAATGAGAGAAATAACTAAGACAGTGTGTGAATTACTTTAATAAACCTGTTACCACACACAGAAGTTTCACACCATCCTACCCTCTTTTGGCATGGATCTAAAAGATTCTGCATGATCATCTCTAGGTTATGACATTATCGGTGATTTTTAATTTTTTTATTATCAATGTTTTCTAAGTACTCTAATAAATATGTATATTTTCAAACTATAAAATCAGTGAGGGGAACTGGTATAGATGGGAAAATATTAAATGTCACCTGAGATTTAGGAATGTCTAATTCCAGTCAGGTAAGACATGGTCTCCCACGATGATAGCACTGTGGTGATAGCACATTTGCAAAGAGGTAGCTAAAACTCAATACTATCAATAGTGTTGGGAGGTTGGGGAGCATAAGTCAGTGGGGGAGCACTTGCCTACCATGTAGGAGGTACCACGTTCTATTCCCCGCACACGCACATACACACACAATAATGTTTGCCCAAGTGGGTAAAAACTTGATTGCAGTGTGCCATCTTAAGAACGTGATAGCAGAAATGGAGTGGTTGTCCTTAAGTTCAGAAAGAGCAGGGGTAAGGATGCAACCCACACTTGTGGGATACTGAGCTGGGAGAGATGCTGGGTGGGGGCTGGAGAAGCATCAGGAGCACCCACCCGCCCCTCCTTGTTCTTTCCCCATGCTCAACAGGTACTTACTTGTGCTTGTAAACTGGGTGCCCTAATTGGGAGGTGGGAGTCCTCCTTACCCTACAAAATATGCCTCCTACTGACAGACAGAACATTAGCTGTCTGGTGAAGGTGTCGGTATCCTCTCCGTTTGGGCCTTGAGTGACCATCATTGTCAGTCTGATCACTTCTGGGCCATTGATGGCTCTGGCATTTCATATCTCAGTGACGGCCCCAAGATCTACCCCTCTGCGCTGCCTGCCTACCTCTGCCTTTGCCTTCCGTGTTTCTCAAGAACCAGAATATTCTCCCTCTGCAAGGAAGATATTAGTGTCCTTCTGAGGGCAAGATTTACTCTAGTTCTCCAGTCTCCCTAAACTAGAAAATAGGTCAAAGTAACTGGGTTTTCTTTTTGTGAAAACCATTTAGGCCAAATCTAAATTGACAAACAGTATCACAGTACGTTTTAAGTTATTTGGCCAATTTGAAATTCTGAACTCCTGGTGTTTCTTAAATTTCTGTGGTAGTTTAATAAAATTTTATTGCTCATCATAAAATTAAGATATATTCATTAGCAAAAAATCAGGAAAGTAAAGCAAAAGATTAAAAATGAAATATAAAATACTGATAAGCTCACTGATCATTTAGAAAACAAAAAACAGCAACAAAAACATTATTGGGGCTGAAGATGTGGCTCAATGGTACAGCTTATGCTTGATACGCTTGTGGTCCTAGGTTCCATTCCCTGTGCCAAAATAAAACAACACAAACGACTAGAGCAAACAAAATCTCAACAATTTTAATAATTTGGTGTATTTTCTTCTAAATCTTTTTCTATCCATTAAGTAGTGTTTTTTTTTTTTAACCATTATCATCATTAAGATTGTGTCATCCATTTTTTTTTTTTCTATTTATCATGCTAGCTTTGGTGACTTTCATGGAAATTAAGGTTTAGGGATGTGCCTCACCTGGAAGGTGTCTTCACACTAGGGTCAATATGCAGTCTTGCCAGCTGCCCAGGGTAATAGCCCTGGAGGTCCTTTCCTTGATGGTTAATGAATATACTAATGGATAAAATAAAGAGGGGAGAAGAAAACAGTTATTACAGTTAGTTCTCTGAAGGAGAACAGGTGTTGCATGAAAGAAAATGCATTAGGACTTTGTCCCCTGTTCCTGGCACCTAGACCCCATGGAATTTGTTGATAGTGTCCTTTTTTATTCATAATGAGTCCCTTCCCACCATACCTGGATTTATGGTACTTGCAAGTCTCCTGTCCTCCACCACAACCTCCAGCATTGTAATACAGTGTTATTTATTTTCAAGACACATAAAGAAGTATTTAACATTGTGCACAAAATATTAGGAAAAAAGAAAAACGAGGATATATAAAACCATTGGGGCAAATGTTGGTGATTGTTGAAAGGTGGGAATAAATGAACAATCATTATACTAGTTTTTCTACGTCTGATATGTTTCCAAAATTTCCTAAGTTAAGAAAAAGCGTAATGGCCAAGTATATAGTGGAACTCAAATTAAGCAGGACTGTGATGGCAAAGCATGAAGTACTTGTAAACCTGGAAGAAGGACTCTGGCCCGGAAGCATGACCAGGAGCCCACAAGGTGGGAGTGGTGGACGAAACTCCGGAGACTGCACAGGAGATGTGGTTGTACAACTAGAATACAGTGGTGCCGTAGTTTGGATGCTGACTGTCCCCAGAGATTTGTGTGTTAAAGGCTTGGTCCTCAGGATGATGCTTTTGGGAGATGGTGGAGCCTTCAGGAGGTGAGGCTTAAGGAGAGTCTGTAGGTCATTGGAGGCATGAATGGGATTGTGGGGCCTCAGTGCCCCTTCTTTCTCCTTCTTTTGCTTTCTGACCATGAGGGGAGATCCTCACTCTGCCACGCAATCCCTTCTGTTGCCACCTAGCGTGCCTGTCAGAAGCCAAAGCAACAGGACCAACTGATCACAGAATGGCACATCCAAAGCAGACAAAATACATCTTTCCCTTTATAAAATAACCTCAGTATTTTATTATAGTGCTAGAAAGCAAAATAACAAGCAGTGCTCAGACTTTATAGTTTAAAATGTATCGTACTTTAGAGTAAATTACTCATCCCTTTATTTTCTAATTATGACTACATTGGTATTTTAAAGTTGTGCATGGATTATATGACCTGCAGGTTTTATTGGTTATTAAAAGAAGGGGTGTTCTGTCTGCAAGCTTGAAAAATCACTGATGTAGGTGATAGGGAATCTTTGTAGCATTTTAAAGAAGATGAATGATACATTTTCTCTAGTGGCAGTGTGGAAAACAAAGTTGAGAACAATCTGACTAGGAGTCAAAGACTGGTTAGGAAGAGGCTAGTACTTTATGTGAGACATGAATCTGCACAATGGGTAGAAATGTGCATGGAGACGATGGGTTGTTTGCTTGGGAAATGTAAACAGAACGGGTGCTGTGTGTGCCCACCACAAAAATAACAACCAAGACAATGCCTAGATGTAACTATTCTACACGCCCAACTATTCAAAATGTCATGTACACAATAAAAACATCCAGTATTATGTGTCGATTTGACCACTGAATAAGGATGTAACAACAACGATAAAAATGAAAAGTAGATGAGAGCACTGGTCGAGGATTTTTAAGAGATGGAATGATGAAATTAAGGATAAAAGAGGGAGAACTGCCCAAGAGAAGGCCTAGGCTGCAGGCGTTGGAACGAAAACTATAACAAAGCGGGGAGGCAGTCCTGGTCCCCAAAATGCTCTTCACATGCTGAAATAGTGGCCTGAATGAAGGGCTGATGGAGCACAAGGAGGGAGGGGTGTTAAGGGTTTGGGCGAGCAAATAGGATGGGGAAGAGACTCCAGGTGAAGGGCGTTATAGAGGCGAAGAGCTGGACAGAATTGAGTAGATTGTGTAGGGCTGCATGAGTCAGCTTTTTGTTACTGTAGTAAGTGCCTGGGGCTAGTTAACTTACAAAGAGGGAAGGATTACTTGGCCTTGAGTTTTGAAGGTCTCCATCCATGACGGCCTGTGAAAGGCAGCCCGTCACAGCCGAGTGCACGGTAGTGCAAAGCAGCTCCGCTTGTGGCAGGGAAGGAACGCAGAGAAGAGGAGGGGCAGGGCTCCAATATCCCCACTCCAGGGCGCACTCCCAGTAACCTAACTTCTGAAAGATTCCACCGTCTCCCAAGAGTGCCATGGACTGGGGACCAAGCCTTCTCCAGAGGGGCCTTTGGCAAACACAACCCAGATCTGAACTAGAGCAGGGGCCAGAGTCGGCCTGGCTGTCCAGCGTGAAAGGCAAGTAAGTGCCAGTCTGCGCAGGACGCCACAGGCTCGGACTTGCAGAGAACCCCCGGGCTGTCGGCTGGATACCGTGACCAGTCCTGCCCGCAGAGTCACCAACTGCAGGGGCTGAAGTCCTACGAGGAGAGAAGCTGGCACAGAGGCAGGGCACACACGGCATTTCTGGGTGCATGGGAGGGGCAGACGGGCTTGCTCAGGTGCCCACTCGGTTTCGGAAGCGAGGCCATGGAGGGCTCCCCCAGGGCTGTGCTACCACTCAGGAGGGTCCCTGGGCTCCAAAGGACCCTCGGTTTTCTCATCCTCTTCCCGGGCATGCACCCAATGAATTCCTGCCAGGATCAGGTGGTCAGACCAAGCCTTGCTCTGCAGAAGCAGCACGAAAAAGCTGCTCTGAGAGCGGAGAAACCCGCAGCGCCGAGCAGCCTCCAGCCGAGTCTCTGGTGGGCAGCCCCGGTGGACATCAGCCGGAGTGCACTGAAGGCAAGAAAGCCTGTGTCAGGAGGCAGTGGCCAGAGGGAGGGCAGCTGGGAGAGGTGGAAAGCGTTGGGGAGGAAGCCATGGTACTTCGTCTCCTCCTCTTTGCATACATTTTCCAAGCTCCCCCACGTGGCCTTCAGGTGAATGAGAGAAAGCTTCCAATGCAGACATGAAAACACCAAGTTTTTCTGGAAGAGAATTAGCCGGACTCTCCTCAGCAGGCGGGGTAGGGGACAAAGGGAAGAGTGACTGAAGGCCAAGGCGCGCTCCTGCCGAGCCTCAGAGCCCTGCCCAGGCTGTGCTCAGCCCCACTGTGCTGCGTCAGCTGCGGAAAGATCCTTTCTTCTCCCCAGCTGGAAGTAGGTCGCACGGGGGGCCTATTCCACTGTGCATTATTTACAAGCCCCTGACAGCTTGGCTCTCTGCATGACTGTAACCAGAGCAGGATCTGGGCTTAGCCTCGGGCAAAATTCAATATGCACAGGTGAGGTCAGGGGTGTGCACCCTCTGAGCCTGGCCCGTGGTCCGTGTCACTGATCCCCTGGGTTGTGCCTCACTCTTTCCAAGGCACTTTACGGAGGTGATCCCATCTACTACTCACCGTCACCTTGCAAGGCAAATGGTATTAACTCCCTGTTTCATGAAAGGAGTTTCGGAGGTTAAATGCACTTTCTAAATATCACCCAGCTAGGACATGCCAGAGCCACGAAGCAAACCCAGTTCCCTAAATTCCATGTCGCATTCCCAGTCAGCTCCGTGTGTGGGCAGTGATTCCTCTTTTCCAGAAAAGTTCAGCACGGTTCCTGTGGACTCTGTGACTCTCCTCCCACTTGTGGACAGACAGCAAGCAGGCACAATGTACCAAGACAGCAGGGAGAGCAGCAAAGACAGCCCTGCTAGTGGGGCGGACGCGTCCTTGGAATAAAAGTGTCCATTGCAAACTCAGATGTCTGCGGTGTGCTGGGTGACAGGGACACGTGGTGTCAGTATTGTCCTCCCACCCAGAGTTCATCAGCTGGTAAGGAAGATCACTTTCAGGCAACTAAGGAATCATAGCCAATGTGGTGAAGGCAATAACAAGTTAGGGAACCGAGGCCCGTGGGGAATGAGAAACTTAGCTAAGGACACGTGCTAACACACACAGGAGATGGCCCCAGTCCCCACCTGGATCCACAGGATCTTCTCCAGGAAGGGGGGCCTCAGTGTCCTCATCAGTAAGTAAGAATGATCTGATTATCATGATTATCATCTGCGTTAGTGGCTGCATCAGAGTGAGTGAGACATTTGTACGTGGCTGCTCAAATACCTCTAGTCCCACGCAGGGTGGACGAGCTGACCACATAGCTACCTCTAGAGCTTTCAGTCACTCTGATCACATGCATATGCACGAGTGTGCGTGTGTGTGGATGTGTGAGTGTGTGTTGCCGGGAACGGAACCCAGGGGCTTGTGTATGTTAAGTACCCATTTTACCACTGAACTACACCCCAGCCCGATCAGTATTTTAAAAATCCATTTAAATCAGACACACATTCTGTATCTTTCATCTTCCACAGCATACTGAGTTTAATCCACTAGAAGTGATCTTTTCAGAAGCATTTTAAGCTACACAACCCCCACCCCACCCCTGAGCAACAGGGCTCTGGTCCCCACCTGGATCCCCACCTGGTTTGGGTATGGCACTGGTTAACACTAGCATTTTTTTTTATTGCATTTTTTGGGGTTTTTTTTTGAGACAGGGTCTCACTATGTAGTTGAGACTGACCTGGAACTCACTATGTAGCCCAGGCTGGTCTCGAACTCACAGCGATCCTCCTGCCTCAGCCTCCCGAGTACTGGGGTTACAGGCGTGTGCCACCACGCCCACCTAACACTAGCATTTGATATAATTCTTTTTACAAGAATCTGATGTGGTCACTAAAACTTGTGAGCCAAGAAACATTTACTTTCATTAGTTTTCCCTGCTGGCTTGCAATTCTGTTTCCCAAGTAGAGCCCTCAGGGTGAGGCAGTTAAGGATGAGCTGGATGAACGCTTGTGCAGAACAGCAGAAGGGCAGGCAGCTTCTGTTAGTCATCAGGAGGCCAAATAATTTCGATCGTTCATTTTAATTGACTCAACCACTGTGTGTAGAGGGCCTATCACGTGTGGCCATCTGTTAGACAGAGGTTATGGAAGTGAGTTACAGAGAAAGGTAAGCAAGCCCTGCAGTGAGGGGGTTAACCTGGAGCTGTAGTAAATTCCTGTGGCTCCATAGACAAATGGTGGCACCAGACCAATGCGTTCTTCAGTTGTCTTGGAGCAATCACCCACAGAGTGCCTCGTTACCTCATTTTGAATTCACAGTTGTAAAGACTTACGACGAGGCTTGTATGTTTGTCAGTTTTCTGTGGCTGTGATGAAATTCCTGAGAAAACAGCTTAAGAGGAGGAAAGATGTGTTTGAACTCACAGTTACAGAGGTTTCAGTCCATGACTACTTGGCCCTCTGGCTTTGGGCCTCTTGCAAGGAAGAACATCATGGTGGGACGCGCTGGAGGAGCAATGCTCCTCACTTCCTGACAGCCAGGGAACAAAGAGAGTGACAGAGAGCCCAAGAGAAAAGGGTGTAGAGGCAAAACTATACCCTTCAAAGGCACCTTCGGTGACCTGTTGCTCACACCTCTTAAGCTTTCCACTGCCTCCCAATAACCCATTCAACTAGGAAGCCATCAATGGCTTAATCTGTCAGTGAAGTCAGTGCTTCTATGAACCAATCACTTCTCAGAGGCCTCCTCTCTGAGTACTGTGCTTTGGAGACCAAGTCTTCAACATATGGGTTTGGGGGATATCTCAGATCCAAAGTATGATGTCCAGGAACACAATAAGAGCTGTCTGTTAACTATTATACTAATGGGAAGACAGACTGGAAAAAAAATAGTGTCTGGATATTGTGATAAAATGCATGGAAGAAATTCAAACGGTGTGAAACGGAATAACAGAGGTGAAGAGGTAGGCAAAAGAAGAAGATCTTTGTTAGTCCAGGCGGTCAAAGAATAACTCGCCATTGACAAAAGCGCTGAGACTCACTGGGTTGAAGGAGTACATATGGCTGAGGAAAGGGAAGCTCAGGCAGAAGGTTTTATAAGCTTTGAGGTGTAAAAGAAGCATGGCTTCCCGGAGGAACCAAAGGAAAGACAAGGGGCTTGAGTTAGGAGACGTTGGAGAGATAAGCAGGGCTATTTCCTGTGGGGCACGTTGGTCATGGCAACGAGTTTGGATTTTATGCTAACTGTAGTGGGTTGCAGGGCTTAATCCAGGGAGTCCTGTGATCCAGTTCAGATCTTATGATGCTCAACACTCTGGAGAACACATTGATGGAAGATGAGAGTAGGCACTGCTGACCATGAGCAGAGAGAGGTGACGGTGATCTGGAACATGTGGTGTCCGTGAGCTGGAGCCAGGCTGCTGTGGTTTGGCTCTGAAATGTTCCTCAAAGGCCCACGAGTTAAAGCTTTGTCCCCCCCAGCCTGTGGCCCTACTGGGGGGCGGTGGAACTAGAAGGAAGTGGGAGGGGGCTCTTTGGAGGAAGTTAGGTCACTCAGACAATGTCCTTGAAGGGGATATTAGGACCATAGCTTCTTTCTCTTTCACTCCCTGGCCACTATGAGGAGACAGACTTCCTCTGTGATATGCTTCTGCTCTAAAGTTTGGTACCACAACAGGCCCAAAGAAAGAGAGCCAAGAAACCATGGGCGGAAACCTCTGAAACCATGAGCCAGAAGAACTTTTCTTCCTCATGTTGCTTATCTCAGGCATTTTGTCATAGTGACACAAAACTGACGAACATGGAAGCATTTAGATGGGAGATTTGTCCTGGAGGTAGAGTTGATGGAACTTGCTAAGGGAGGGGGTTTGCTATTGTTGGGAAGGCATGTGGCAGGCAGAGAGCTCCCCAAGTGAGCCCTGCTGGTGGAGGATGGGGCACCCTCCTGTGGGGAGAGGAGGAGTGATTGATTCCTCTCCTGTAGTACTGATGATAAGTGCAAGTGGCTTTCAGTGGGCTCCCCACATTCTACCTTTGTTCCACCCAGAGCCTCAGGCTCCCCAGCGGGGGCTGGCTCAGGCCAGACCCTGTGGGTGATTTGGTTCCGTGGAACAACACCAGGCAACAGCAGCCAACAAAGATTGTTTTTGCATTTTCCCAGGGAGACAAGACCACAGTTAAACAGGCCCCACAGTAGACAAGACAATCTCATACATACATAGAAATAAGGAGGACTTGCGGGAAAGGAGGAATCAGAAAATACTGTTGCTCTCCACCCTGCTTGCTTCTTGGTTGGATTTTAGGGACGGAAGGGTAGGCTCTGTGCTTTCTCTGAAAAGAAGGTTTGTAAGGAATCCAGAAAGGAAGCAGCCTTCTACTCACCCCTGCTTCAGGAATCTCTGAGAGCAAAAGAACTTCTACTTGTTGACCAAATTGTTAGAATGACTAAATACTAAAGTAAGCATAAGGCTTGCTCAAATCCACAAAATCAGTAGTGCTACTAGAGACTGACCCTGACATCACAGTGTGAGGGTTGCTGTCCTAGCTTCCTGGCTTCTAAATACCTGCAGTCCCCGTAGTAGTGGGTATCGAAGGGAGAGTATGGTTAGGATTTACTGATTTTTATCTGATCTCTCTCAGCGAAATGAATCTAGCACTATGAAATGGCTCTGGCACTTATTATCCCTGTGCCACCGATGACCTTGGAGAAGGAGTGAAACTCTCCCTTAGCCTTCATCTGCACCGTCAGCTCCTATAGTGCAGAAGCATGGGGTAGTTTGATTAAAGGATTCCCAGCCAAAACTTGGGCTTGGATCCTTCATACTTCTTGTTTAAGCTTCTCCTAAAAGAAAGCCAATACCTCCCTGATCTTTCTGGAATGGGAAGCTTGCTTAGATTCTGCAATAATGACGGGATTTCTTTCCTTGAGATGATCCCTAAACCCGAAGAAGCTTCACTGGGCCCTTTTGGAAGTGGTTGTCTCTCAGTTATGAAGTGCAGGGTGAACAATTCTAATTCTCCAGAGAGCTGCCTTGCCTGGCCTCAGCTCTGGGAGGCTCTGTATAGGTGAGAACGTTACCTGGGTGGAATCCCTGGGCGACGGTCAACAAATTCTCGTAGCCAGATGTGGGACATGATGAATGGAAACCTGAGAAAACAATTACAGAGTGAAATTTCATATTGTGTTTATGTGCATTTGCAGGCATAAGCTAGTGCTGCAGTTTAGTTATGGAATGTCCCTGTCTTAGTTGCTTTCTTGTTGCTGAGACACAATACCTGATGCAGTGCAAGAGAAATCACCAACAGAGCTGAGAGACATACTACGATGTGGGAAAAAAATTTTACCAGCTGCTCCTCAGACAAAGAACTACTATCTAGGATGTATAAAAACTCAAAAAAAACAGACCCCCCCAAATACAAAGACCTGATTAAAAAATGGGCATCTGAAATGAACAGACATTTCTCAGGGAAGGTTTATTTTGATCCATTTCAATTTTAGTTTAGTGCACAGTGAAAGATGGGGGTCTACTTTTAATCTTCGGCAAGTGGAAGCCTGCTTTTCCAGCACCATTTATTAAAGAGGCTGTCTTTTTTCCAGTGAGGGTGTTTAGCCCCTTTGTCAAAGAAAAGGTGGTTGAGTGTGTTTGGATTTGTTTTTGCATCTGATCCTCAGGTCTTTGTTTTGTTTGCCAGCACTATGCTGGGTTTGTTGTTGTTGTTTTTACCATAGTAGCTTTGCAGTATAATTTCAAATCAGGGATTGTGCTGCCCCCTGCCTTGCCTTTGTTGCTCAGAATGGCCTTTGCTATTCTAGGTCTCTTCTGGCTCCAAATAAATTTTAGGATCGTTTTCTGATGTTGGAATTTTGATGGAGATTGCATTAAATCTGTATAACAATTTTGGAAGTATGGCCATTTTCACTATGTGGTTCTTCCTACCCAAGAGCAAGGGATATCTTTGCATTTTTTGATCTCCTCTTTGATCTCCTTTTTCAGAGTACTGTAGTTTTCCACATAAAGGTCTTCTTCCTTCATTAGATTGATTCCTAGATATTTCATTTTTCTTGATGCTATTGTGAAAGGTGTTGCTTCCCTAATTCCTCTCAGTGAGTCTGTTATTTGTGTACAGGGCGGCTATTGATTTTTAAGTGTTGACTTTACTGTATGCTACCAAATTTATTAAATCTTAAAGTCTTTTGGTGGAGTTCTTGGGGTCTTCTATGTAGAGTATAATGTCATCTGCAAATAATGAAAGTTTAACTTCTTCCTTTTCTATCCTTATTCTTTCTCTTGTCTAATTGCTCTGGCTAATGTTCCCAGAACTATCTTGAATAAGAGTGATGACAGTAGACATCCTTGTCTTGTTCCTGATTTTAGAGTGAAAGCTTTCAGTTTTTGCCCATTTAGTTTGATGTTAGCTGTTGGTTTGTCATAAATGGCTTTTATCAGATTGAGATAAAGACCATCTATTCCAATTTTCTGAAGAGTTTTCATCATCAGTGGGTGTCGGACTTTGTCAAACGCTTTTATTTTGGCTCATGGTTTGTAGAGATTTCAGTCCATAGTTGGCTGGCTCCAAGGCAGGACACCGTAGTCAAAAGACTTGGTCAGAGAACCGCTGCTCACCTCATGGCATCCAGGAAGCACAGAGAGAAGGACAGAGCCAGGAAAAGAGAGGCACCCTTCCGGGCCACATCCTCAGAGTCACCTCTTCCAACCAGACCCTACCTCCCAACAGTACATGGAGCTATTAACTCATCAGTGCAGCAGTCCACCATGAGTATAGTGCCCGGTGCTCCACTCACCTCCCCAAAGCCCCACCTATGATCACATGAGGCTTTGGGGGGAATCTAGATAGGATACAGACGGTCCCCAAGGGCCTATGTGTTGAAATCTTGTCTTATTTGGATATGATGGAACCTTCAGGAACTGGGTCTGGTGGAAGGAGTGTGCCCTAGAAGAGGATATTAGCATGTCAGTCCCTTCTCCTTTCTCTCCTATGCTTCCTGGTCACTTATGAGGCAAACAAGCCTCTACCACACACTCCCACCGTGATGAAATGTGCTTCTACAGACCCAAAGCAACATAGACTACTGACCATGAACTGAAGACTCCGAAACTGTGAGCCAAAATAAGCTATTTTCCTTACTAAGTAGGTTATTTTATCATGGTGACGGAAAGCTGACCAACATGGCTGTCTAGTACCACAGAGTCCAGCTTGAAAGCATCTCAGTAAGAAAACTGACCTAGTAAAAGGGCTATCCAGAGCTTCCTATAGACAGGAAATGCAAGGCTAATAGAGAAACAAAAAGAAATGGAAACTATAAGCCAAAACAAGACACATAACGCTGCTTTTACTTTTTCATTTATTATTAATTTTCGCAGTACTAGACGTTGAACCCAGGGCCTTCACACATCCCCAGCCCTTTTTATTTTTTGAGACAGAATCTCACTAAGTCACTAACTTGCACAGGCTGGGCTCGAACTTTCCATCTTCCTGCCTCGGCTTCCAAGAAGGCAGTGATTACAGGTGTGTGTCACTAAGCCGGGCTGAGCTCTACTTTCTCTGTGATGTTGGTTGCTCCTGCCCAGGCCTTGCTCTGGAATGATTTATCTGATGTTTACAGGACCTCCTGACCTCAGATGTCCCGCCTCTTATAATTCAAAGTCTCCTTGACTTTGATTTCTTCCTCACCTGCTAATGAGGAGGACGATCCCAGTGGCAACCCTCACAAATTCTGAAGTTCTGTACAGACAATGGCATTGCATGCCCTTGAGGGCACTGTTACCCAGTGTACTGCCTCTCTGACCTCGCTGGATCTCAGCTCCACCCTGATCTTGTTTCTCACTGAGGACAGGAGGGCTAAAGATTAACTGTCTCTCTTCAGGTGAGCTGGCCTACACTGGCTGGGTCTAAGATGACTCATGCCTCTTTTATTTATTTTTCTTAAAAAACAAACAAACAAACCCCCCAAACAAAAAGTACCAGTGTGGAATGTTAATGGGGCACCATCTCCTCACTCCCTCTGAGTGAACTTTCTTACTGCACAGATCTGCAAGGTAGACACCACATTCCCCGAGTTTCTCCACATATAACTCTGGACATGAGTTAGAGTCCTTCGGTCTGATGTGCTTATGTGGGAGCTGGAAGGAGAAAACAAGGCAGAGGCCACTTGCTGCTGCTTTGACCTTTCCCCATAGGAAAGCCTGGTTGTGAAGCTAGGGTGGGTTTTGACAGCAGAACTCCAGTATCCAGTGTCCGGCTCGGGGATGTCAAGATGCCACTGCTGTCTCGGGGGTCAGGCCAGCTTCACCGGTGTGGAGGTCGGAGCTGGCACAGCAGTGGTGGTGGCGTTTGGAGTAGATTCTTGAACCTAACTGTTCTGGTAGCAGCTTCCTGTGTAACCCCTCATTCTGTATATTAAGACTTCCTGTACTCACTTCAGACTTAAAAAGAATAATTCCTTCTTGAAAAAAGATTTCATATTACATCTGATTACTTACTGGAGAATTTGGGGTGCCACAAGCAAACTACTGCATTTAAATATTCATATTCTTGAGAAGGAGCCCATACAGGGGAGGGGTTCTGAGTGGCTGGGAGACAGGAGAAAGCTGTTTTCTTTTTAGATTACCTTTCATGTCCTTTATGAATCTTTCACTCTGTGCATACATTATGTACTCTCTCTAAAAAGACAGCTGGCCCTCTGATTTGAATAAACATGGCTACTCGTGATGAGGAACAATGGACCGAGCCCTTGAGGCCTGGAGCAGGTCATTTCCATGCTCTGTATATTGATTACAGTGCCTCTCTGGAGGGCTGAATGAGGCAATCATGTGCGTGAGAGTGCTTGGTAACCTTCAGAGCACCTTAGAGAGAGGAGAAATATGAGTTTCTATTTAGGAGCTTTTATTACATGTTAGGTAGTATGCATTAACTCGCATTTGCCTCCCAACAAACTTGTAAACATCGTCCTTTCACCCACAAGAAAGCAGGTACTAAGAGGTAAAGTAACTTGTACCAGGTTACAGGGAAAACAGGATTGGAATCTTCTGGCTCCAGACACATTAATCTTAACTACTGTGTTGTGTCAAAACAATCCAGAGCACAGATACCACCAACCAAAACAAAACAGGACCATTCAAAAGAAGCCAGAGGAAAGAGATACAACCAGTGGGGAGAAAGGATTAGGGGAAAAAAGGCATTTATGCCTCCCTCTCTTCCCTTTTATTATTGTGTTAGCCAGATTTTTATTTCTGGGACCAAACACCTAAGAAAACAACTTAAGGAAGAAAGGTTTAATTTGGCTCCTGATGTCTAATTTGGCTGTGGGTTTCAGAGGTTTTAATTAATGGTTGGCTGGCTCCAAGGCAGAAACATCAGTGCAGAAGAGCGCGGTGGGGAAAAGCTGCTCATCTCATAGCAGCCAAGATGCAGAGGGAGAGAGAAAGAGCAAGGGAGGAAGGGTCTGGGGACGAGACACAGCCTCCCAAGGTCGCCCCCAGGGACCTACTTCCTCCACCTGGACCCCACCTCCTCTAACCCAGCCAGCTATGAACTCAGCACTGGCCAGCCCATTCAGGACGTGAACAGTCTCGTAATCCGACTACCTCTCCAGGTGTCCCTTAATCCCATCAAGTTGACTATCATGATTGATATCATAATAGTCAGAACTGAATTCACTGTCCATAGGCCGGCTAGCTATTTATTTCACCTCTGAGTATGTTTTTCAAAGCAACTTGAAAATTTTTGTCAGTGTTAATTAAAATGGGATAGTGGGCTATCCAGAGATGCCTACTCATTAGCTAATGCATTTTTTCAAAAAGTCTTTCTTAAAAGTTTCTTGCTAATACATATTAATTGTAGATATTAGTGGTCTTCAGTGTGATACACTGATTAAATACAACCTCTCTTTCCCACACCCCCATCCTTTCCAATCCGTCATAATCATTATTCTATTTTCAGGTCGACTGTTTCTAGTTTCCCTGTCAGAATGAGTGTGTGGTACTTGCCTTTCTTTATGTTATTTCACTTAACATCATGTCCTCCAGAACTATCTTTTTTGCTGCAAATGACAGACCTTGCAAGCGTCCTGCAAGTTGTTCATTATTACCCTTCATTTGCAGAAAATGTTAAATTACATGCTTCTGGTGATAGCCAGGGTCTGTCTGACTCCAAAGCTCAAGATCCTTTCCCTGCAATAGAACTGATTTATTGATCAGCTAACTTTCTCATGCTGCTAGGCACTTGGGGAAAAGCATCTAAGAAAAGATAGATGCTGCCATTGTTGAGTTGCTTGCAGTCTGGTGGGGGAAATGAAGCCACACACTAACCATGGAGTTGCACAAGTCAATACAAAATCAAAGCAAGTCCCCTTTCAGGCCCTTGAGGGCTAAGCATCCTCTCTCCTCTTTCAGAGTTCTAAAGGGAAGGGTTCTAGCCACAGGCAAGTCACCTTTGCTTTAGTAGGCCTGCACATTTTCTCTAACCTCTGCCATTTTCTCTGATAAGCTTTCCTAACAAACACTGCTGGAAAAACTGGCTATCCCCATGCAGAAGGCTGAAACTAGACCCGCATGTCTTACCGTGTACTAGACTAAAAGCAAAATGGATCAAAGATCTAAATGTTAGAACAGAAACACTTAATCTGCTGCAAGATAAAAACAGAGAAAAGTCTTGAACTCATAGGCACAGACAAGGAATTACTCAACAGAACCTGGTTGCACAAGAAATAGTACCAAGAATCAACAAATGAGGTCGTATCTAATTAAAAAGCTTCTGCACAGCAAAAGAAACAACCAAGGGAGAGAAAAGACAGCCTGTAGAATGGGAAACATTTTTGCCAGCTATTTCTCAGGCAGAGAACTAATAGCTAATATATTAAGAACTAAAATAAAACCCCCAAATTGAACCCTCCTCCAAATAAAAGACCAAGTCAAAAGCGGCCAAGTGATATGAATACACAGTTCTTAGGAGAAATATAAATGGCCAATAAATGTATGAAAAACGTTCAACATCTCTGGTCGTTAGAGAAATACATCTTAAAAAAAACACCGAGATTCCACCTTACTCCAGAAAGAAATGCTATCGTAAAGAATCAAATTCCAAATGCTACCACACCTCATTGCTGGTGTGAAAGTGAACTGTACAACTACTATGGGAATCAGTGTGGAGATTGTCCAAAAAGCTAAACGTGGAAATTCCATTTGATTCAACTATTTCCCTTTGAGGTATCTTTCTAAAAGAGTTGAAGATGTCTTACCACAGTGATACATGTGTGCCCATGTTTATAGCAGCATAACTCATCATAGCTAAATCTGGAGAGAAACCTATGTGCTCACCAAATGATGAGTGGATAAAAAAAAAGCATTTACACACAATGGAGTACTATTCTGCCGTAAAGAAGGATAAACTTGAGTCATTTGTATGAAAGTGGATGCACCTTTAAACCATAAGGTTAAATGAAATAAATGAGACTCACAGCTTAAATGCCACATGGTTTCTCTTCTATGAGAAACCCAAAATATAAATGAAGAGCAAAATAAAAGACAGGTAATAGGAAATAGGGAGATGATTCTTTGCAAAATGGAAAGTGATCCAAAGAGATGGAGGGGAGGGGAAGCAGAGGAGGGAGAAGGGAATAAACAAAGAGGCCTGTTACGAACATTCCCCAACTCCCCATGAGGAATGCGGTCATTGTGTCCTGCAAACAAGTACCAAGAAACATCAAACTTAAGACTTGCCATCCATTTCTAGGACATGAAAAAGTTAAAAGGCATTATTATTAAATCAAGGTTTGGTTGCCCCTCCATACAACATCAAGCGGAACTGTAGCAATTGCCTGGTAAGTTTAATCAATATATGTGTGTCCAAATTACATAACTGGAAACTTACTAATGAATCTGCTCAGAGAAGGGACAGAAGTGGAACATTAGACTGAGGTCCCAAAACTGATAGTGTTTATCTACTAAGTCTGGAAAACTCAAGGAACAGTCAGTAGGTTAGTTTTCATTACTACAGTATAATGGAAGACTTGAGGTTAGATAATTACATAAAGAAAAGATATTTATCTAGTTCAAGTGCCAGAGGCTGAAGGGCGTGGGCACCAACATCTGCTTGGCTCTGGTAAAAAGCGTACGGCAGGTTGCACCAAATGGTAGGATTGTGTGCAAGAGGCAGCAATCCCATGGCAAGACGGGAAGCTGGATCATTGGATGGGGCCAGACTTGCTTGGCACTTCCTTATTTGTAAGACACAACTTTCTTGGGAGATCTAACTTGGGATCTCATGAGAATACCTTAGTCCTTGCAGAGGGCTGCCTCAGCGACCTCAGGAAATTCCTTATCCCTCAGTGGTTCCACACCACCTCTAAACACTGCCATTCTGAGGACCAAGCTTTTAACACATGAGCCCGTGGGGGCCAAGCCACATCCATGGAGTTGCAGAGAGGTAGTGGCATTTTAACTGCATCCATTGATTTTTCTGCATGTATTGGAGTCCCGATTTCCCTGAAAGTGTCCCATCTGTGCTGCTGGCACTGGGGAAAGTTCAGCTTCCAGGGAGAGCCACGTCCTTGTGAGATTGAAGAGCACAGAAGGATTCTCAGTGTGGCCCTGACCCAGCCTGGGCAGGAGAGACTGCAGCTTCCCACTTTGCCTGCAGGACTCCTCTGTAGGTGGGGCTCTGCACCTAGCTGCCTTTGAGCACGTGCGTGGTGAAGTATGTAGGTGTCCAGTAACTAGGTTACTCTGACAGCGCTCTGTTGTTTTTCCAGAATGCCAGTTTTCCCACGTGAGTAAGGTTTCCCCTGTAGGCCACACTCGTCAGTCTTGTTGGGAATTCTGCTGCTTGAAGGCTTTTTGCTTTCTCCCTTTCTGGTCTAAATTCCACCCTTTCTTCAGGGCCTGATTCAAGGCCCACAGAAGTCCTCTACAGGCTTCAGCTCTGAGTTCCAAGGGCTGCACTGCCCATCCCTTACGTCCCAGAGCCCTTGATAAATTCTGTAATGTATTTGGCTCTGAGTCCTTTCCTCTTTGACATACTGATTTCTGCATGAATTTATTTATGCTAACAGGAAAATATTTCAACTTTCACCAAGCTTTGGTTAAGGCCCCAGGGATTTGGTCTTTGTATCCTTTCCTTATCTCATTGTCTTGCAAAGTGTTCGCTATCCGAGAAGTGCTTGATGCGTACTTCAGAATCAAAGTATACCGGAAAGAATCAATAAGTCAACTCAGTCAACTGGTACCTAGTGAACAGTTAAAAAAAACTTTGGTCTTCATGTGCCAGATACTTTATATATATCCTATTTCTTTAAGAGTAAATAAAAGTAAATAGTTGAGCTAAAAATATTAATTTAGAGCAGATAGGGTCAACTGTTCAGTTTCTAAAAGAATCCATGGCTTTACAGAAAGGGTTTCCATAGTTGCCTGAAGTTTTGAGCTCCCATCTCTAGACCATTCAAAAACTAGATTCTGCTGGTTAGGAGGGCAAGCAGTAGGTGAGAGGAGAGAGCGGCACAGGCCGTGATGACCTCGCCAGAGTTACCTTCTCGGGCCACCGTGGGTGGGACCTCCTCGTTTTCAACAAACCTCTGAGGGTAGCAATTATTTCAGCCTCCTCCTGCTGTCAAGATGTACTGGAAAGGCACACTGCAGAGTTGTAGGACTTGATGCTTTGACATCATTCAAAGGGGATTGTGATGCACTGTGGGTTAGAAAGTTTTGCTTGGCAATGCTTTTCAGCACTCAAGCTTATATAAAGTAGGAAAAAGTTTTGGTCTCTATGGAGAGCCTGCACATTGAAAGAAAGGTGAAAACTAGTGTCAACAGGAAAACCACACAGGCAAAAAAAACGAAGAGTATTCACTACACATTCCTCTTCTATAAAGATTACTCCAAGGACTACATAAGGTCAAGGATCTGGGTAGTGCCATCCTGGCTAGTACTGCCCTTTGCATGCTAGAAATGAGGAAGTAGGGTTGGAGCAGGACAAAAGTATCCAGCTCTGTCTGGTTCCAGACCAGACAAAGCTCCATCTTGCTGCTACTAAAGGCACCAAAGGAGGCTTGTAATTGTTTAAAAATGTAATAAAGCATCAAAATAGCACTGATAAATCAAATCACAACCTGGGAAGAGAAGAATGGCAAACACATTCATTCAGACAACCTATATCCAAGCAAAAACAAGGGCTGTGGTTGTAGCTCGGTGGTAGGGTGCTTGCCTGGTGTACCCTGGATTTAATCCCTGGTGCTACAGAGGGAGAAAAACAAAAGCATCATCTACAGTATACTGGCCTTAGATAAATAGGTTTGCAAGGAAGTAATAAAATATTTCCATGAAATTCCAGATGGCACTTAGGAGAGACCAGCACTGAGGCTGGGCTCTCACTGGGAGCTTAACCCATGGGAGTAAATATAAAAATAATTTAATACCAGTGTTTTGGCAGCATAGCATTTTGTGGAAAGCAGGCAACCTAGGGAAAATTTAAATGTAAAAACAGGAGCAACGTGCTGGGCCCACATAAATAGAAAGGGCAAACCAGGAGCCAGGTATAGGCACACGTCTGCACTCCCAGCTGTAGTACTCAGGAGACAGGGGCAGGAAGGTGCACAATTCAAGGTCAGCCTGGGCAACCCAGTGAGACTGTATCTTAAGATAAAAGACAAAAAGGGGTGGGCATGTAGCTTGGTGGTAGAGTTCTTATCTAGCATGTGTGAAGCTCCAGTGTAACCCCCAGTATGGCCAACAAAATAAAACCCCTACAGAAACCTCACTTGTGGAGTAAGCATCTTCAGCGTTCCAGGCGCTGTTTTAGTTTTAGCCACTTGACAGCTACAACCTCAGTCTCCGCTGTGACTCTGGAAGGCTACTATCTCCATTTGGACTAAAGGCTAAGAGAAACTAGGAACTCGCCTAAAATCATATAACAATGGTGGAATGAATCAAGGGTTTGAATCCAACTCTGTTTAACACTGAATCCCAGGTTGAATTACATTTCAGTTAAAATATATTAATTTTTGTGTTAAGAGTAACAACCCATATTGTTCATGGAAGAAACAAACAACTCCCCATTCTTCATGAAAATACTCCTGGCAATTCAAAAAAGTAATAAAGAAGAAACGAGTGCTAATCTCACGAGTCAGATACCATTGCTGTCCACATGCAATTGGTGAATCTGTTCAGATGTCCTTCTGGAAATGTAAACAGATTGACATTAAGGAGACAACTTTTATTTTATTTTATTTCTTTTCTCTTTGAGTTTATTAGTACATTTTAGGTATCCAGTACAGTTACACTCATCATTGGGATCTTGTACCTTTACATGATAGGTCTTGGCTCTCATTTTTTCCTCTTGTCCCTGCCCGCCTTTCACCCCCTCCTCCCTCCCCTATTTACAAATACTTTATTTCCAGTTTTTCATTTTCTCATATTTTCTTCCCTTATTGCCTTTCTCCTACCCTACCCACTTCCCGTACACCTTTAGCCCTTTTCTTCCTATTTCACATTGTCAGTTATATCATTAGGATCTTATGTACCATTATAATTTTTCACACCAGGGAAACTATTCGGTATTTACACATGTGTGACTTATTTATTTCACTTAGGAGTATATCCTCAATATGTATCCATTTTCCCATGAATGACTCTAATTTCTCATTCTTTATGGCTGAGTAGTATTCCATTTTATAGAAAAACCACATCTTTATCCAGAGGAAACAACTTTTAGACATAAATCTTGTTAGAAAACTGTGATTGTATTATATATGTCATATATTTAAAATATAAAATAGAACATTTAACTAAAGAGTCAACCCAAAACTTATGATGATTTAGCTATACAGCCAAGAGGTTGTGTTCTGGCCATATGAAAATCCTCTAAACAGTAGGGGCTGCTTTTGCATAATGATGCCCACTGACATAAATTTTTCAAGCTTGTGTCAACCTTAGTGACCTGTGATACATAGTTCTTCCTTCTTTTCACCTTTAGAATGTTGTCCAAATCTCCCCCCTTGGGTTTTGTAAATGCAAGTTAATGCTTCCTCAGAAGAGTGTTAATGGGATTGTCCTACAAAATGTGTTCATAAACCATTTGTTCTATCATTCCATCCAGTCGTATAGTCACTTGACATTCAAAAGGCAAAATATGGCCAGGTCATTCTGATCAGCATCCAAGCAAGCAATCATCACTTTTTCTTATCCACATTTTCAAGTGTGGAAGTCATTAATTAGATAACTCTTCTCCAGGACCCACTGGTAATCCACTCTTTGAGGATTGCCTCTTCACTTAATGTCACACATCTCTCTTGGTGACATTGGAGAGCTTAGACACCTTCCTCATCTGCATAGAACCTCTCTTCTTTTAATTCAGGCAGTACGAGGGAACATAAGAACAATACAGTAATGAGAAATCCTTCAACCTGGAGATACTACTATGAATATTTGTGTTTGTTAAATATATCACGCTTATTATTAGGGTAAAGTGTCACAGTATCTGGTTAGCCAGAACCCATTCTGAGATGGAGTAGCTATGCTGCTCATCCACCTCCCTGAATCACTCCCTATTTGAGCACAAAGCCAGCCCTCCATGGCCGACTGCCTGCCATTCCTCTGTCTGGTCCTCTCTCTGGCTGCCGTACTTCTCTAGTTCAGAGATGTCTTTCAAACAGATGAACTCTTCCGGTGATCCCTATGTTGACAACTCAGTGCCTGGCCCTTCAGGACTGAGCTGTGTCCACATCTGCTGAGAGTGTGTGTGCTGTGTAACTCACAATTATCCTTGACCCAAGAACACGAGTGTCCAAGGTTTAAGCTCCCACCTGCAGCCCACGTCCAGTGACTCGTCAGTCTGAGGACATCATCTCTTTGCTCCAGTCATCCCAGATTCAAAGTTCTTTATGGAATCAACTGGCTGAGGCAAGGCCATTGCTGCTTTGGGTTCAGTTTCTCTCTCTAGTCAGTCTTGTTCCCTTTCTTCCTTTATGGGGCTCATGCCTGAGCCGGGTCCCCCTGGGAAACCACCTCCAAGCAAATCTCTGTTTCAGAATCTCTTTCCCAGTGAAACCAATTTGAAAGAGCCAGTTCTGGAGGTGACCCGAGGAAGCAGACTCTATACTGAATTTTGGAATTCCATTACCCACTGGTAGCTACCAGTGAGGTCCTCAGTGCTCCTGGTGGGCAGAGTAGGGGTGGCTCCTGGCATTGTGCTGTGGGGCAGTTGTGGGTTTTTGTTAGTTTTGCAGTGCTAGGAAACTGGACTGAAGACCTCTTGTGTGCTAGACCGGTGCCCTACCACTAGGCTACATCCCCAGGTTCTGGAGCAGTTGGCAAAAGCTTCTCCTTGATACAAGAAGACAGAAGACCGAAGCCCAGTAGAAGGGAAGAACTGGCAGGTACGGTTTCTCAGGCAATGGAGAAGTTGAATGCAGAGTAATTTTTTTTTTTTTTTCCAATACGTGAGGTTGAACCCAAGGCCCTCACAATGAGCTACATCCCTGGTCCACTTTCGGTTTTTATTTTGAGACAGGGTCTTGCTAAATTTCTCAAGCTGGACTCAAACTTCTGTCCTCCTGCCTCAGCCTCCTGGAGTGCTAAAATTGCAGGCCTGTGCCCCACCCCCAGCTAGGAAGAATAAATTATGAGAACAATGAAACTGAATGGCTCTTGGTCAGTAGGATGTTGAACAAATCATTATTTTACAAAAAAGTGAAAACTGAGGAGTTTTGGAGCATAGGGAGACACTCATTTCCTGCAGCAGAAAGGCAGAAAAAGACAAGAATTAGACTCAGAACTTAAATATAAGGGTAATGGAGCTCGTGAAAGAGCTGGGCCAATGTCTTCTAGGCCAATGTCAGGGCCATGGCTAGAAAAGAGTGCAAAGCTCAGAGTTGGAAGGAGGAAAGAGTAGTCAGGGGATGTGAGAGGTAGAAAGCTCAGATTCGTCTTAACTCTCTGGGCCTGCAGCAGTGACCACGCCCCTCCTCAGGGATAGCCCTCCTCTTTTGCTTGATGGATTGAGGACAATACTGAGGCCACCACTTAGGCCCCCTTCGGAACTAGTTCTGGCTCCCCTTCTGGCCACCATGAAACAATGAGACCAAACAAAAGCGTTTACCACAAGAGCGATCCTGGACCTTCTCAGAGAGGAGAGAAATTATGAGTGAAAGGAACACAATCTGGATTTCAGTCATAGGGAAAGATTAGACAAATTCAAATATCTACACCATAACTGCCCTGGGCTCTTTTTAAAAGTCAAGAATGATAAAGAAGGGCTAAGCAAGTTTTCTAGGTTAAAAGAGACTATATAGATATGGTAAGTGAAAGCAATGCATTCACTTGGATGGAGTCCTGGTCCTGTCTGTGAAAGTCCTCTTGCGCTTCCTGTATCCCCTCTGGGTCTATTTCCAGCTGACAATGTCATCTGATCACAGATCATGGCTCAGTCACTCGCTCCCCAAGAATTGGCATCATGCAGGATTACAACCCTTGCTGGGATGGTTCACACCCAGCCACTAGTTAGTGTGGGAATATGGGAGAACCACCTTGGGCCTGAGTGCAGTGCAGAGGCTGAGCAGGTACTCAGCATGCCGGAGGCCCTGGGTTCAATTCCCAACGTAATTCATACATACTGAACACA